AAAGCTGACCACTAGATTCACTGTGGCTAGATATGCAGCCAACACAGGATGCAGAACAGAAATGAACCCCAGTAAACATGCCCTTGGGGAAACATTGGCACAGGCCTCTTACTCAAAACCTGTGACACTCATGATTATAGAAAAGCAGAGAACGACTGGAAGCTGCAAAGCTTGAGTATCTGGGGGCATGCCATCAGCTGCCACAGGAACGACTACAATTTTTACTTTTAAGAAGCACAATTTCAGCTTAACCATTAACATGAAACTTATATCCACTGATATTATCATTAATATAGTAAGCTGTGGGTTCTAGTCTCCATTATTTACAGAAACTTACATTATTTTATTTTTACATTCAAAACCATCTCTATTGCCCTCTTTCAAGACACTCTGCCACTCACTTTGCTTAAAAGTTTGATCAAGGAAAAGGGGAACTGTTCCCATGATTTATAAATGTTTACACTAAACTAACAGAAAAGTAGGAATTTGTAAACCCCTTGGTACCTCTATTAAATGCCTTTCTATCTGCAGGATGTATTTAGTTATGCCCCACAGAAAGAGATGTGCTTTTTCATCACTGTCACTACATTTTATGTCAGCAACCTAATTTAAAGGATAAGAGTCACTTTGCTCTGGTAGGTAGAATGTCATTTGTGCATAGTAGGGTCACTGCAGTAATAACTCTGGCTGGACAATTTTACAAACACATAAATGACACCTTAGCCAGAAGTGCTACAGAATGTCTTTCCTAACATAAATTCATATTTGTTTTATGGCCAGAGAGTATGGTAGACTTTTCTCCCCTGGAAAGTCTATAGAGTGCGTGTAACATCATTTTATCTGATGAAGAAATATAAAATTGGGGGGGGGAGAAAAGAAAATGACAAAATGGTAGGTATTGTCCAATTTTAGATATTTTGTTATTTTTTAAGTAGCATCCAATTAAAAGGTAGAATCCAAAGGGAGGTCTTGTTTCCTGCTCACTTTCCCCCCAGTCCTGTGGTGGTGAAGCTAATCTTGTCCTGATGGTTTTCATACACGTGTATAAAAAACCATGGACCAATATCAGATATTACAAGCACCCGGGACATCCCTAAACAGGACTTGGCATGCTACTGAGGGGAACAGCAGTTTAGAAAACATACAGAGGGGACACATCAGTGTGGGCTGAACTGCACATAAGCAAGATGCTCTTTAGTATTCTTGCCTCTTAGAGACTGAAGAAGCCCTTTCTGAAAAAAAACAGCACAATGTTTATGTAAGTGTTCTTCCATTACATAAAGTATCATTTAGGGGCCGTCTTCTGGAGAAGCCTTAGTAATTCACACAAGATTAGTGAAGGAGAAACATTTAAGTATATACTTAGCATAATCTTCACTTTGCTTTTCAGCTTTCCTTTCTCTTCCTAACAAGAGAAATAAAAGTTCTCCTGACCAAGGTGCCTTGGACTGTGTCCCCTGAGTAATAGTCATGACTATCTTACTTAGGGCAGCCATGGTAATCATAGCAGCCATGGTAACCACAAGAGACCTTCAAGATTAGTCTACTGAGGCTCCCCTCTAGGAGGGGATAGGGAGGGCCTCTCACTTCAGCTTTCAGACACTTCCTTCCACCTTCCCCAGATAGCTCTCAGGAAGTGCTAGAGTACATACTCCTGTATTTACCCCTCACTTATGCTGCTGTAAATAAGCCCAGTAAACGTGTGTGTGCATGTGTGTGTGTGTGCGCACATGTGTGTATGTGTGTGTGCGTGTGTGTCCACTCCAGTAAAAGTTCAAGGTAACACAGGAATGTGACAGAACTAAGAATGGATTTGGGAGGGAGAGTTGTATTATTACTGCTGTGGGGAATGAGAAATATAAATGAAGCCAAGCTGTCTGATGCGAGAGTGTCTGTGGCTGCCCTCCTTCGTGTAGTGTAGAATGGTGCTCCTTCTTACTGCATTTAGTAGTCATTGTGTCCCTAATACTAGTGGTAAGACATGCAACTGAAGCTGAGCTGTCCTTCTAGTGTGAAAAATCTGTGGGAGAAAGAAATCCCTATGGGGCTATCTTCTTCTATGTCTTATGAGGTCATATGGTCCCTTGATGAAAGTAATTTGCCAAAGGCACGTGAGAGCATCCTGAGAACCATGATAAAGCAGATAGCATGCTGCAGTCTGGAAGGAGTACGTGTGGAACAGGGCTGTAAAGGGGTTGCAGAAGTTGTTGAACGGTCCCTACTTAGGATGTAAAGATATGCAGTTGAGGCTCGGCTGTCTGTCCAGAAAGAACTTTCCCAAATATAAAATTGCAATCAGAAAAAAATAAAATAATACATGAAAATACTATCCCCCATGCTGGCCTCTAAATCAGCATAAAGAGACAGCAGTCTGTGGAAGGCTAAGATTATGTGGTTTGGTGACTCCTGATACCAGCTGCGGTTTTTGTTTGTTTGTTTGTTTGTTTGTTTGTTTTATAAAATGGATGGCAGTAGGTCTTCAGAGATGCTGCCAGCCCTCTGTAAAACAGCCATTACTAATGCCCCCTTCAAATGCCAAACACCACCTAACAAAAACCCCCAACACCAAACATAAGAAGTTATATTTTAAGCTGTTGGTCAGGCTTGTTCAAGAGATTCCCATAGCATCTGGGTTATTACTATTGCCCTAGGTAGACCTCAGAAGTGGATGGCAAGTCCCTACTTTTGAAAACACCTTTCATTTTAAACATGGTGTGTAGGAGGAGCTAAGGTGGGAGGAGTAAGGAGCGAAAAAGGAGTAGTAAGGAGGAGAGGAGGAGAAGGAAGAGGAAGAGCGAGGAGAAGAAATGAGAGAGAGGGGAACATGGAGGCGGATGTTCACGTGTCTCTCACAGTCAAAGGTAGTTGGTATATCTAGGTTGGGTATTGTGTTACACCTCTGATTGTATGGGTACCTTGTTACTAATCATTACAAAATATGTAAGCCTTTGGATAATCAAAGCATTAGAGTCTCATTTGTACCAATCCCGCGTGGTTGGTGGGATGGTCTGGGTAATGCCTAGCCTTGTGAAGACAGAATGGAAGATTGGCAGAACCATCTCCCATGATGGCATCTCGTGGGTGGCAGGGTTGGTGTTTCTGGCCGGCCAGTTCTAGCTGTGGCCACAGAACATGGCAGCTGAGCTAGGCAGAGCCGCCGCAGCTTAGATAGTCGGCTTGGCCTGCAGCCGTTTTAAATAATTACAGCAACAGCAGTGCCCAGAGGCCCCTGAGCTGTAACTGGCCTGCATGACTCTGAGCATGACCTTTCATGGTATCAGAAGGCACAATGCAAGCTTCCAGGGGAGGGACACAAGCAACAGTCTTACTCAGCTATGATGCCTGTGATTCACTACAACAACCACAGTGAAATTCTCCAGAACATCATAAGGTAAGGCAAAGATGACCCACAAAATTTGGATGAGAAAACCTCTCAACACCTTGCTGTTAAGGTTAAAATAAAAACTAAAGAGCAAAGAAAGATACTTGAGTGGTGGAAAAAATGTTCCCATAAACCACAAAACTCAACATCAAGGGTGTGCTACCTGTTGGCCAGGGAGCCCTGAGACTCCCCAACCACTACAGACCATCTCCATGGCTGTTGGTTGACTCCAATAACTAAATAGTAAGACCATATTACTGAAAACACTGTGTACTTTGAATATGGGCCATGGGGATACCAAGGTGGACTGAGCTGGAAGCTTCTTCCTTGCTGGCTAGCTCATGTAGTGCCAGGAGTTTCTATGTGGACGACTGGGACAGACCTGTTACCAGGGGACCTACTTCACTGCAGAGCTCTGTGCTTTCCTATCAGCATAACAGAAATGGGGAACCATCTGGTGTTATAAGAGCATTATTGTCAAGAGTGTAAACAACTATTTTCCACTTGGGTTTGAGGTCTGACCAAATTCTCACAGGAGGGAATTCACATTGGGCAGGGGAAATCCAATGACAAGCCAATGTCTAGCAAGATCACAGGCCAGAGTAGGGAAGGTACTACTGTGTTGTTGTTAATGCTTGCTTAATGCATATGATGTGCTTATCAAATTGCTTCCTAAATATTTGTGTTCATGTCTTTAAGACTATTGCTGATGTCAGCCTTGGTCAGAGACACTCTCTTCAATGAATGGTGGTTAGCATATATACTTTTATAATATCAAATTCCAGAAGAATAAGCGATTTTTGTTGTAGCACAGTGTATAAAGGCCCACAAGTAGAAGAAAATAACCACATATCCATATCATCCTATTCAAGACTCAGTGACCATTATGGAAGAAAGGGTAGAAAGACTTTAAGAAGTAAAGAAGGAGTGTCTGGGAGTGCTGCATTTCAAGAACAACATCCATTGCTATCTTACCAGGAATAACTGGGTGTGTGAAGCTAGGGACCCTAAAGACTAGATGGATTGAGGCCTCCTTATAGAAGCTGTCGGGGAAAGGTCATTAGACCCAGACCTGAATATCCAGGTACTCTCACGCACCTCCATTCCAGCTGTACATAATTCTATTCCAGATGCAGATTATATACAGCCACTCTCAGGAGGTTCCAGAGTGTTGGGGCATGAAATTTTAACTGAGGGTGTGTCTCTTCTATGCAGCCATGGGGACCATCCATGCTACAGTGAGACTTCTCAGTGATATAGCTGTTTTGAGATCACCTGCACACCTGTAAATAATCTTTCAATCATGCTTTTATAGGCCAAATAAACTCACAGGTTGCCTAAGCAAGACTTGGGTAAGACTGTAACTTTAGTCTGCAGTTAACACCCCTATGAGTCTGAGTAAACATTTGTTCATGTCTCCGCAAGTAAAGTTCATGCAATATCAAGTACTCTATTCTTCAGAGCAGATTCACAATTAAATGCTAGAGCAAGATGCAATAATTTCCATTTTAATTTTTTTATGCTGAAACATTTATGACACACTTCTCAGAAATTTAAGAAGAAAACTTTGAAAACCTAACAAGACAAGAAGTCCCAATAATGAATAGGCACCGCTTACCTGTGCATGAGTAATCGTCAATCCTGATGTACCCAGTTTTGCAGATGCACATGAAAGAACCAGGCGTGTTCACACACATGGTGTTCTCACGACAGTAATGACGCCCTTCTGCACACTCATCAATGTCTACAAAGGAAAAGGGGGGCAGAGGTCAATGGTGGCCAATATTGGAGAATTTTCCTATGATTTTCCTTGCTACTAATTGAACTGCATTTTAAAAGAGCATTCAAAAATATTCCCTTTAATAAGAGTGTTGGATGTGCAAGACAGAAAGCATGTGCGCTTTTATAAACAATTCCTTGCCACAGTTTCAAATAGGCCTGCTAGTTTCAACTTGCATCATTATGAATAGCTTTTAAAATCTTCATTCATCTACTCGTGTTTGATAAAATGAATCAGAAGTTACAGATCAGGTTGCCTTAGTATCCTGAAATCTTCAGTCACTGAGGCGACTGTTATCTTTGATTCACTGGCTATTCAGTACACCTTGGGGAGAACTCACAAGAGGTAATGTGTTCAACTGTACACAGAACTTGAAGGATTTCATTTGAAAGTAAGAATCCAAGAGCATCAGAAAATAGAACAATAAGTACCCTATTAGGTATCTGAATGCAGACAGGATTACAATGTGAAGAACAGATGAGGAATTATGAAATAGTAAAATATGATATGGAAGCTTATACATGTGTTAATTTTCACCTCGAGTTATAAAGGCTTATAGATGTTAAGACAAGATACACAAGGATTTTAATTGTGAAGAATGTGAATTTTATCAATAAATCTTCATTTTACCAATACTTCTTTACATGGAATCGAAAGCACTTACTAAATACTTGTTACTGAGAGCCTATATTCTGAACTGAGGAGACAGCACACTCAGAAAAGTACCTGATGTATAAACACGGGGAATCCAGATCAAATCCCAGCATGTCAAATCCCAGAGTACTGGCATATAATTGTAATCCCTAAGGCTAGGAAAGTGGAATAAGTCAAGCACAGAAGGCCAAGTACCATATAGTATGGACTGTAGGAAGGTTAATCTCACAGAGGTTGAAGAGTATAATGGAGCTACCACACAGAGACTGGGAGAAATAGGGAAATGATGATGAATATTAATGTCACAGTTAGATAGAAGAAGTAACTTCTGTTGGATTGCTTCACCTTAGAGAGACTACAGACAAAAATAATGAACATTTCAAAAATATAGAAAATATCAAAAAAATTACCATAAGGAAATAACTGTTTGAAAACATAAATATATCAACCCGATTTAAATTTTATACAATGTATTTATGTATTAAAATGTTACTTGATATCTCATTGACATACATAATTCTTTTGCATTATTGTATCAGGTAATGTTTAGAAGTAAGAAATACAAGCACTAGATGAGCCTCTCTGCACAGCCAGATCTTGAACATCTATCACCAGGGTTTGGCTGTATGAATCCATCTGATTCTCACACACACACATCAAGTCCTCCACCCAGTGTCTCGGCTTAGCCTGTCCACTCCTGCCTGCATCTGCCCACTCCTGCCTGCATCTGCCCACTCCTGCCTGCATCTGTCCACTCCTGCCTGCATCTGTCCACTCCTGCCTGCACTGGCCCAAGCTCTAGGCTTCGTCCAGGATCCCCGTTCATTCCCACAATCCACAGGCGCTTTTCATCGCACACTGAACTCCACTCAGCCAACCCTGCACATCCTTCTCCTGGGTCTTACTGGATGCGTCGGCCTAGTTTTTTACTACATAAATCCTCCCCGAGCACTCTCTGTATGGATACATATATTTTTTGACAGACTCCAGGATTGCACCCAGATGCAAACGCTGCATGCCAGCCCAGCTCGTGTCCACCCAATTCCATTCCACCTAAGCCATAGCCAACCCGTAGGCCTCGTTTGGCCCACTCATCCTGTATCCTAACCCGGCTTGTTCTGTATATACCAGACACAAAACTAGCAAAAGAAGACAATGTGCCTAGATTTCATTTTCAAAAGTATAAAAGGAAAGAAAGAGAGAGGGAGGGAGGAAGGGAGGGAGGGAGGGAGGGAGGGAGGGAGGGAGGGAGGGAGAAAGAAAGAAAGGCAGGCTATCAAGACAGTAACTCTACACAAAAATCCGTGAGACCTTTAGAAATATGTTAAGCAATTAGAATGACCCGATGAACTACAGGATATAGACTTTAAAAGAGCAATTAAAATATTTAACTAACGATTCAAGAATTGTAAAGAAGGCACAAAGACACAGCTGAGGAAACTTAAAGAGACTGGCTGAGTGAGTGGCACCCAAGACAACACAAGCAGAAGGCTGAAGGACATGAGGACGGCAATTCTGAAGGGGAAAGTGGAATCCAATAAAGACAGGAACGTTGAAGAGTACTCAAGCTGAAACAAAAATTAAACTAAAATACTCAATAACTCAACGAGAAAACTCAAGCGAACACTTTACAAGCCAAACAAAGCAAGCAGAAGATGGAACATCAGGACCTGGAGATAAAGTAAAGGATCTAGTCAAAATAAGCAAAGAATGTGAAGTTTTTATTAAAAACACAGGAAAGGAACATACAGGAAATGTGGGACAGCATTAAAAGATGAAACTTTAAAATTATGTAAATAGATGAAGGAGAATACCAGACCAACAACATAGATCATATATTAAACAAGCTCATAGTCAAAAACTTCTTAAAACTATGAAAAGACATGTTCATATGATATAAGATGTACACATCAAAGAGCTAAGTCCAGAATAGAAACTGCCTATGTAACATTCATTGTTAGAACACTAAGCATACAGAACAAATGAAAGAGTGTTGAAAACTGCAAAGGAAAAAAAAAAAAAACACAGTCATATAAGAAAAAAAAACCATCAGAATAATAGCTATTTTTCAGTTGCAACTTTGAAAGCCAGAAAATTCAGGAACAGCCTGGCGGTGGTGGCGCACACCTTTAATCCCAGCACTTGGGAGTCAGAGGCAGGCGGATTTCTGAGTTCGAGGCCAGCCTGGTCTACAGAGTGAGTTCCAGGACAGCCAGGGCTACAAAGAGAAACCCTGTCTCAAAAAAGCAAAAAAAAAAAAAAAAAAAAGAAAAGAAAAAAGAAAACTCAGGAACAACGAATGCTAACTTCCAAAAGTCCATGGCAACCATATGAGATTATACCCAGCAAAACTATTTGTCATAAAGGAGAAACTTTCTAAGATATGAACTGTCTAATCATATTTTATCCAAAAAGATATAATCTAAAGAAAATACAGGAAGTAATATTTCATGCTATTAAGAAGAATGAACATAGCCAGGAGACTGTCAAATAATAGCAATGCTACAATCACTAAAACACAAAGTACCACTGAGAATAGAACAACAGCAAAAGTCAATAACATGACAGCTGCGATCGCGAACGTTCAATAATAACTTTAAATATGAACAGCTTCAATTCTTAAACCAAAAGACACAGACTTGCTGAATGGGTCAAGGAACAAAATCCGTATTATCTGTTGCCTACAAGAAATGCATCTTATCATTACAGAGGGTAATCACCTTAGAGTGAAAGGATGGACAAACATATTCCAACCAAACGGGGCCAACAAACAAGGAGGTGTTACTACCCTAATATATTAGAAAATAGACTTCAAACTAAAACTTACTAGAACATACAAAGGAGGACATTACATCCTAATCAAATGAAACAATTAATCAGGAAGATGTTTCTATCCTAAATGTATATGTGCAAATTCTGGTGTACCCAATTTCAATAAAAGTGAACTATGGGACTCAAAGTTACACATTAACATCAACCAATTATTAGCAGTTGACTTCAATACCTCACTTTTTTTCCAAGAGACAACTCAAAGGTCATCTGCACAAATATACCAAAAAAATGAAGATAATGCCACACATTAATAAACATATTGACAGAGTGTTTCATCAAGACACCAAAGAATATCTATTCTCTTCACCAACAGATGGGAGCTTCCCCAAACAGATCACATCCTGGGACACAAAACAAATCTTAACAGATTCAGAAAGATTAAACTAACTATGCCCATCCCATCTGACCCCAGTGCAACTTCAACTTTACAGCAGACAAATTTCTAGTAAATATACGTACTTGTGGAGATTAAATAACTCATTACTGAATGATTATTGGGCCAAAGAAGGAATCAAAAGAGAAATTAAAAAAATTCCTAGAACTGAACAAAAATTAAAACTACATTCTAAGTATCCGTCTTCATATCCATAGATGAGTATAGTTCTCACCCCTCATCAAAGAAGCTTTTCTTCAAACTACAGTTACAATTACAGGAAACCACAACCAATCACAATGCAGGGAATAAAAGGTCTTGCGATGCCCAGTCCCAGATGGCACATCTACAGTACAAATCCTGCACCTAAGACTCAAGGATTTTGGAAAAGAGGGGACTGAAAGATTTCAGTAGCCAAAGGAACAAGATGTTTGCTGTGAAGTTTTATTGCTTAGAAATGCCCATGGATGCTACACCCATTAACTTGCATCAACATGGCTGCCCAAACAAGATCTGAACACAGTGGTACCAATGGACATGCTAACATGGAAAAAAAAAAAAAAAGCTCCTGAGGCCTCAATCCTAGACAAAGAATTACAAGCAATTAATGCCGAGAGCAGGGGAAATAATCTTCCTTGGGGAAGATGCCCCAAGAAGCTTATTTATTTATAATCTTCCAATTAATTATTCAATACAAAGTGGCCATCCCTGAGATTCTATACATTCAAGTCCCATTATACAGGCTCAGCACATAACAACACCAAAACAAACAAAATGTACAAATGTAGCTAAAGTCCTCAAGCATCGGCCTGTGGATGAACTCCATGGTGGATATGAAGAAGTCTGTGTGCACAATGGTGAGAGTAAATTTGCAGAATGGAGGAGCTAACAAAGAAGAGTGAAACTGTGAAAAACACTCTGGTCATCACTGGGAGGAGTTACTCTGCACGTGCCATGGCCCCTCCTCAAACAAGTGCAGCCCTTGGAGGAGATGGGGCAGCAACTTCAGTGGCGAGAGCCAAGCCGTACAGGCCACGGCTGGAATAGGGTCCTATATAGCTCTCTACAGAGACAGCATCCTATGGAAAAAGCCTGTTTCCCAACA